TGTTTAATGAAAGGTGTGCTTCTGCGTGGGGTGACTGCCAAGCTGATGCTTTCTTGCTCCTCTTTTCTCCCAGAATAGTTGTCATCTGGCATTTGAATTGAGTACGGAGTTAATGAAGTAAGTTCGGATGTTAAATCATGTGCTGCCTAAGCCAGGCAGAGACTTTAGAGGGAGATGAAGGAGGGGAAGAAATAGATGAACTGGGGGAAAGACAGAAGAGGAAGGAACCAAGGCTTTGTTTTGCAAGTGAGATGCGTTGATTTCTCCCATGTCCCTGCTCTCTGGAACGATGAAACGAGGTGCTCAAGGGATGGGGCAGGGAGGGAATTATAGCAAGGAACAACTCATCAAGTACATGCTGCTCTCCTGTCGGTGTGCCAAGTGATGTATTTACTTTCACCTCCGTTTTTGTGGATCGCTCAGCCAATGCTGGATGCACTAAGAGCCAGAGCCAGCACACGATTAAGCCTTTTTCCGAGTTGGATGAGGCTTTGAGCAACCTGGTGTAGTGGAGGGTGTCCCTGTCCATGGCAGGGGGGTTGGAACTAGATGATCTTTGAGGTCCCTTCCAACCCAAACCATTCTATGATTCTGCAGGAATTCACAGGATGAGCCATTCCCACAACATGTCAGTAGGTGGCAAAAAGCTACAACCCTTGTGCTAAGTGAGAAATAAATATTTTTCCTGCTCCTGCAAGAAGAAGAGGTATCTGTGGGGAGCTCCGTCCCGTCGGTGGAGATGGATCGTGTTCCCCCTGGGGTGGGAGGGGGAAGACATCCCAGAAAGAACATCCCGTATCTGGAGCAGGTAAAGAGGCTCAGAAGAGAAACAGGAGATGCCTCCCTCCTCTTAGTTCATCAGGGGACCCTTGTGCCATCACTTGACCTTGCTCAGGAATTATTTAAAGAAAGCTGGAAACCATAAGGGCTCCATTGCTGTTTCCAGCATTGGAAAACAACAGGTTTAGGGTTGTGCTATTGCGGCACAGTCTGAGGATACCTAGTTAGACAAACGAAAAACGTGTCACGCTTGGTATTTTTCGAGCTGATGATAATACTTTAATCTTCATGTACAGCCTGAAAGGGAGCTGCACAAGTCGATGTTCTGGGGCACTTTTCTCTCGTGGCTTTGTGTAAGAAGATTGAAGGAATCCCGGTCGCCTGTCACACACCTCGCAGAGAGGCACAACAGATCCAGGGTTTAATAAGGTTGGTGAATATATCCCAGTGCCTTTGATGGTGGGGTTTTTTTCTGCTTTTGAATGTGTGCGTGTGTTGGGGAAGGGAGGAGGATGTTGCATGATGCTGAAAACTTGCGTTCCTGAGGAGGTCCAATATCCTGAGCACCAGGTGGAAGATTAGAAAATCGCTTTAATCCAGACTACTCGATGAGATCCAGTTACAGCGTGGCTTTGTTCAACTTTATTTACCTAACACCTCTCTTTACTTAGTATAAGTAAATAATTTTTCTGTGCAGGGACAGTAACAGAGATATTACAGCAACCCTGGCTGCAAGGTCTCCGAAATGCCTTCTGCTTTTTGAAACACAGAGCTGAGGTTCCCTGACATTTCCTCTTAAAAGCTGTACTACTGCTAGTGATTTGGCCACGTTAACCGCTGGTGCTGACTTCCCGCAGCTCGGCGGTCTGCTGCAGGCTGAGAATTACCATTTTGTTTTAACATTTCAGCAGAACCGGTTCAGCTAATCCTGAGCTGGAGGAACTTGGGTCACGCTGGGTAAGACCATACCACCAGTGAAATCATCTGACAATCATTTCACTGGGAAGATCAAATGTCCTTGTGCTTTGGGGCAGGGATCTATCTGCCCAGCATCTCCCCTTTCTTCAGGGCTGTGCCATTTGCTGATACCCGTAGCCACGTCATTAACCACATAAAATCTCCGTTCTTTCTCATTTTGGTGAAAACTGACAATGTGAATTCTCTGAAGGTGCTGCAACCGGGCTGAGCAGCCTCTGCCCCAGCACAGCTCCTACGTGGAGACACATTTAACCTGTAGGATGGGTCCAGCCTTGCTTTGAAGCTGTGTGGTACAGAAACACCTTCTTAGCCAGCAGGTAACTCACCCCATCTGAGGACAGACAGGGTGAAATGTCACCCCATGGAGATGCCCCCTACTCCTCCTCTTGTGCTCTCAGCTACAAACAGAGCTGGTGACTCTTTTATATTGGCTTCACAGCCCTTATATAACCAGAATTAGGTCAGACAAATCCCACTCTACTTCCCTGCCCTGAAGCTTTCCCTCTTGGTTCTTCCTCCGTTGACTATGCATTGCCTCGTACCACCTAAATCAAACCCCGTGCAGGTTTCCTCATCCTGTTCAGAGGAAAACATCTCTGTAAAGTCTTCGTTGCTGAGTTGCAGCACATGCATTGTGGGTTTGTTTCCATCGTCTGTGATTTGTAGAAAACTCTAAGTTTCACTTTTAGTAATAGAGAAAACACTTTAATTTCCAGCCTCTGGAAAGGTTGTTAGAAACCGTGAGAAGAGGATGAGTTGCCATCTGCCTTTCTGCAGGTTACGATGAATTAACACAACTGAGAGCAGCGCCGTCAAACAATTTTGAGCACCAGGAGTAGAAAGCGGGTTTGCTGGTTTTATCTCCTCCATAAGAGTGAATTTTGCACACTGTAAATTGATAAATTAATAGTCAGTCTCTTCTCTGCACAGTTCGTGAGATGGATCGACTGGTCCAAAATCCCCGTGGGCAGCAGTCTTCCCCAATGCTGGCAACATGATTATTGGAAAACTAATCAGCTCTATCTGAGATAAATTGCATTTCCACCAATTATAACTTAATTGTTGACAGATGGGAACACAGAAGGGAGATGTGTCACATCATTAAGAGGACAGGTGTATAGACAAGTGCCAGATTAATTGTTCCAGCCCATTAAATCATTGACCTTTTCAGTGTACCCTCCACGTCGAATTCAAAGCTCTCACGATACTTCCAGCTCACACACGAAGACGGTGTTTATCAGCAAACTTCTCAGGGGCATTTTTTAAACACACAAACTCCAGACGTGGACTCATTAACCACGAGCCGTTCTTCTTTCTCATTAAGTTCTTTTTCTTCCTCCTTTTCTGTGTTGGGATTTGTTGTCTCAGCTTTTCCGTGAAATCATACACGGCATGTGGGCTTTCTCCGAAGAGCAATTTTCTCCATGAAGCATGTAGACAGGCTGTAATGGGCTATACATTTAGAGATGTCAAAAAGAGAGAGAGAGGTGAAATCAGGACAGAGAAGCTCAGTGCTGGGCAGCTCTGCTGGAGGATCCAGCTTTGATCTGGGGCTTTAGTTGTGATTTCCAACTCCTGCTCTGCCTGGAATTTTCAATAAAGACCGAGAGAGAGACAAATATCTAAATACCATTGAAACTGAGTCAGCCATGGGTGTCTAATTCCCCTAAATATGCGTAAAAATGTGTCTTCTGTTCTTTTTCTGGCTATGTAATCCAGGAAGCTGAGGATGCAGCACAGACACATCCAAAACAGCTTTGTGGGAGGTAGCGCAGTTTCGAGATAGTGACGCAGGACGTGCCTCATCTGTCCTGAGCTACCCAGACCCCACGCTGTCCTGGGTAATTGAGAACTGGCTCCAGATCTAGTTATTCTGGATGTTCTTACTTGAAAAATAAGAAATTAAGATTTCCAGCTGAAGGAAATTAAAATCACTGTGATGATAATTGTATTTGTTACTGCTGGAGTCCCTGTCCTGTGGCAATGAGGTGATTTGAAGATGTTTTATCCTTGGATAGGCTCTAAAGAGACCAAATGGAAACCAGCCTGGGGAGACAAGCAGGAGATATGAGGAGGAGTTAATGCCCTTCATCAGCTCTGCAACTTCAGAGGTAAAATTGACTCAGGCAGGTCTTTTTCCCAGGGCTGGGGTTGCTGGTGGGCTGTCTCCCCACCTTGTGCAGCACCAGTCCCCCACATATCCAGTTTGTCACATTAAAATAACTACATAACTGGAATCCCAGGGACTCACTGTGTTCCACAAAGCTGAAGCACCTTTACCACAGTGGTGTACGTGGACCTACAAAGACAACCAGATAGGAGACAGGAGAACTGGGTGAAGTTGCCTCTCAAATAACAAATGATTTTATAAGGAAAAGCTGATAGTTTTATGAAAAAATACAGTTTAGGAGAGATGGAAACTGCAATCATTTCTTTGATAGACTGATACCCTTCATATAACCATTGTTTTCAATATACTTGGAAATGCCAGGTTGCAACGGGGCAGCTTGTTCAAATTCTCAGTGGATGCAGCAGCCTTGACCAGCACCACCAGAGTAGGTGTCTGCAGATGATGCCAGAGATCCCTCAGTTTCCACCGCTCACTGCGCAGCACTGAACCCCGGGCAGAGAAAACAAGTGAACGAAAGCCAGCTTTTTCAGAAAATTTGCCATAAAACCAGAGGTTAGTACTGAAGAAAGTGTATGTATTTCTGTGTCCAGGGCAGGAAAGGAGAGTCCAAAAAAAAAAAAAGTCAAAAAGGAATTTTAGAAATGCCAAAATATTTATTTTAAAGACTTCCTAATGAATTGGGGTTTTGTTGCTTAGAAAAGGATATAAGGTTAAAAACAAGTTAAACAGAAAGGTCAAGTAACCTAAAGGCAAGCGAAAGTTTTCATTTCAGTTGGAACTTAATATTTGGGGTTAACCCAGAATATTTTCCAGCTTCTGCTTGTTTCTTTTGCCAGCCTCCTCCTCCTCCCTCTACCCCCATGTCATTGTTACTCAGTCCAAGCCATTTTTTTCCCGATATTTTGATTCAGCCGCATAACCCAAGCAGTCATTATTGACATCAGAGATCTCTTCATTTCCAGCTGTCCTTTCTACTGGCCCATAGTCCCAGAAATGCCACTTACAGCAAACATCGTATCTCCACCCTTGGTCCATCCATCTGGGAGGTTTCAGCCCCACCAGAGCTGGGGCTTGTTTCTTCAGCATGTCCCTCTCACCTCAAGCCATGCCACTAGAAATCCTTATCAAAGAAGTCATCGAAGAGAGAAACTCTCTCCGTCTTGGTTCTCACAAGAGTAGGTTTGTGGTAAATCTTCTCCTCTTCCCTTTCCCACTCCTCAGAGCTCGTGCTGGAGGTATCCCAGAACAGATCCCTCGTTTGTGACTCCTTGCAGAACCAGAGGTCAACCTTCCTGCTCTTGCCTGGAGAAAGTTCAGCCCCATCACGATGCCTGGAGACTCCTCCATCCCATGTGTTTCCTTGGGGAGGAAAAAAAATCGTAATTTTGCAGAGCTGTGAAGTCCCCTAGAGTTTATCTGGAAGTGGCTAGGGGCAGCTGAAAGCATGTAAAGAAGTTCCTGAGAGATCCCTGCAAGACCAGACCCCGTGCTCGGGCCTGGGCAGGGCCAGCTATAACATGCTCAGGGTTATATCTGGTGAAATCGTGTAGCCTGGCAAGAGGCAGTATGGTTTCATCCCCAAGCAGAAGAGAGCTGAGGCAAAGAAACACGAGATAGTAAGAGCAGCCAAGTTTGTTCCCCTTCCCCCTGGTGAAGGTTCACCGGTAGACAAGTTTTTCACTGATTTCAGCATTTTTACCTTCACTGATACGTTTCCAGCCTGTGCCAAAGGTTGTCACGTGCAAGAAAAGCAGAACAGGGCTTGTGCCTCGGGGATGTCAGCATGGAGCGGCGGCTGAGATCCACTTCAGTTTCCCCTTCGCTGGGGACAGTGAGGTCACCTCATGTGCCCTGGCATCTCCAACCCCCCCAGCTGCTTCCCCAGCCTCCATCAACCAGTGCCCTGAACCTTAGATCAGAGTCACGGCCAAATCCAAAGCACCGCAGGTCGGCCCTCTGGATTTACACTCCGCCCATCCCGGCTGCTCCTGCATTTTTCACGTCAGACGTTGAACGTGACACAAAGCTGTGGCTGGAAATCATCTAACCAGGGACACCTCACCTTAATTACACATCACCCAGAGGGACACGAATCTGTGATGGAAACTGCCTGGCTCTGGGCAGTGGGAAGTGGTTTCCATATAAAACTAAACCTAAAAAGTGAGTAACTTCAGTGACTGTAACATTTGCCCCGTGGGCATTTAAGGATGGCAGGAGTCCACAGGCTGTACTGTGCATATGAATGCAACATCAACGATGAAGCTGGGAGCAAATCTTGGGCAGCTGTTGCTCAAGGAGCCCATTCTCCATCTCTTGCCTGGGCCTCCCCAGCAAGGAGTATTGCTGTCACCCTTAAAGCTCTTCAGCAGCATCTTTCCTGCTAGTTCCAGCTTCCCAACATGCCTAAGGCTGCTCTGCCAGAGAAGACTTACTGCAAGGTTCAACACCCCGGAATGTATGTGAGTACCCTCCTTCAGTCCTTCATGTGTGTGCACCTGAGCATGCCCCAGGCTCAGGCGGGAGGTGTTGGTGCTGGGGCAGAAGTCAGGGGGCAAAACCTAGTGTAAGGGTTGACTTTCAGGCGGTCGTTTTCCATGTTTTTTCTACTTCACCCCTTTGGCCATCATGTTGGTGGAGTTTCAGAAGTTGCCCCCAGCCCATGTATGTTCATCTGTGCAGTGGTCTATATGCTCACCTAGTGGGATGCTTTTGCTCAATGGAGTCCCTGCCTCTCCAAGGACATGGGGCCCTGGGGACACCCTTTATCCTTGCTGTCTGTTTGCCATGTAGGGGACATGTGGGACTCTTCTGCCAGTGGACTGGCTCCTGCAGGAGCCTGGCCCTGAGGACTTGGCTTTTATGCCCCTGCAGCTATTCCGTGGCTCTTAATTCATGTCACTCAGGTCTTTTTGGATGCTATCAGAGAAGCAGCCCAGAGACCTGCATCCTGCTCTGAGGCATCCCAGTGCTTTTCATTACAACCACATCCCACTACTTTCACCCTTCAGTCTTTTGAATTTGCACTGTGTCACGGCAGGAGACGGAGCAGTGGAAGCAGCTTCCATAGGGAAACTTCTCTGATGACATTTGAGAGGCTGGCGAGTTTTATATCTCCTTGGCAAATTATTCTACTTACCACGGTCATCTCCATGAAAACACTGATTGTGCTCAGCAGGGACGAGGTCTTGGCTTTCGGCGCTGTCGCCTCTCTGGAGAGTGTCAAGGACATTCTTCGGGCTGGATTCCTTGATATTTTGTTTATTGATTTTTGCCTCCCTGTGGAGATTTCGCTTCAGCTCTGCCTGGGTTTGCAAACGAGTCATCAACACAAGCAGCAGAGGAGCGAACACATTATAACAGCTCGATGCGGCGTATCGTTAGGGGGGTGGCGCTGAAAATAATTACACAGTCGAGTAGTTTAACCAGGGAAACGGTATTTGCCAAACTGGGTACGTGACCGAGCATGACCCAGATGGAGATTTTTGGTTTCTCCATGAACCACGGCCAAATGAGAGCAAAGTGTTGCATAAATCAGATGTTAATTACTGATCAATACTGATCATTGCCGATAACGTTTTTTACAAGGTTATGTAGTGATAGGACAAGGGGTAATGTTTAAACTGAAAGGGGCTGGATTTAGATGAGATCTAAGGAAGAAATTTTTTACAATGAGGGTGGTGAGGCACTGGAACAGGTTGCCCAGAGAAATTGTGGCTGCCACATCCCTGGGGGGGTTCAAGGCCAGGGTGGATGAGGCTTTGAGCAACCCGGTGTAGTGGAAGGTGTCCCTGCCCATGGCAGGGGGGTTGGAACTAGATGATCGTTGAGGTCCCTTCCAACGCAAACCATTCTACAATTCTACGATTCTATGATGATAGTGGCCCCACCTCGCCTCTGCCTAAACCACCGGGAAAGATTTCTTTGCTCTTCCCAGCAAGAGGCTTTAAGCCTCCTGGTCCATGGGAGAGACACCAGAGATGGGCAGACCCCTCTCTGAGATGGGAAGCCCCAACTCCTCCCCAAATCCATCTCAGCGTTACCTCTCGGCGCCTGCAGGTCAAGTCCAGCATCTGCAGCTTGTGCAAGTGCTGCCGCCTGCCTGGGAGGTATCTCAGGCTTTGTCCCCTCTCCTCCAGAGCCTATGAGGTGTTTAAAAACACAAATAAATACACCTGCACTTTCTGAAAGAGAAGGAAACAGCCACCAGTTTGTAAACCCCCTTGGGTCCTCCCCGGGTAAAGGCAGCGAGCGTCTCCCTGCGTAGCCAACGTGTGGCAATTCATCACGGATTTCCACCGTGCTTACTGTTCATCTCACAGCCCTGGGGTATGGTGGGAAAATCTTCATTAAAACAATGTGTACGTGCTTCTGCCCCTCGAGGTGTTACCGCTTTGAGTCGTCTGCCCAAAATAATCTCATGATACAAAGGGAGGAACCGCTTCTGCACGTTTGGGGTTGCAGGGGATGTTTACAGCTCGCGGCGCTTGCAGCCCTCTCCCTGCCGACTGCAAGAAATGGGCGTTCAAGTTGCTCGGCCATTTGGAAAAATGGTCCTCAAACTTTTAGCTTCAAAAATATTTAAGGTCCTGGCTCAGCAGGTCCGCCTCGTCCAGGGAGCTGTCATACTGGAGATTTGGAAACTTTCCCTGTATCCTTTCACCCACACTCTGGTGCTTCAGCCAGTTCCTGGGCTTAGCCAGGGACGGGAGTGCAGCCGGTGTAAAACACCAACTTCTGCTTTTCTGGTTGCCCAAACCACAAGGGAAAGGATCCTGCAGCCAGCAACAACCCATACATGGGGCTCGACTCATGCACTTACCTTCTTTTTTGGGCTTGCAGCCACTTCTTGCTGACTCCAGGGCTTTGCAGGAGCAATTGCTTGCAGAGGGCCAGCAGGTTCAAGCCTCTACAAGTCCAACATTTATAATATTTAGCATTGCTTGCTCCACACAATCATAAAACCTAATATGAAACTACTTTGACATTTTTCCACCTCCAATTCTGGCCTGGCTGCTTGGGATACAGGAAGGAGATGGGCCTCTCTAGCAGATGCTCAGGGAGATTAAGGTCTCCTTAGGTGCTTTGGGAGTGGACAAAACTGGGGGAATCTCCTGCATTACAAAGGTAGATGTTTCTCTTTGAACCTCAACAGTGCCCAAGGCTCCAGCCAAGAGCAGAGAGAAGACAAACCCCAGCCCAGATTGCTTCATGTCAAAGCTGAATTATGGAGGTGGATCATAATTTAATATAAAGTCTCCTAGCAGGTCATCAGAGGGCAGATCCCAGTTACCTGAAACCCAGAGCACCATTCCCTCCATCCAGCCAACTTCTTTTACATTGGCCTGAGTAGGACCTTTCTCTGCAGGACTGTGTGTGGTACAAAGTGCCTTTCCTGGTGGTTAGTGAAGTGAGCAGAGACTTGCTTTACAGACTGCTCTGAGTATGGATTTTTATCTTAAGGAGCTAAGTTTTCTCCTTAAATCATGCCAAGCTACGAGACGATACCAGCTCATTTCATGGCTTGGTATCACTAGTGTCCCCTTCCAGGATGGAAGCTCAAAAATAAGGGAAGCATCATCAAGGATTTCATCAGTAAGATCTGACTTACACTTTACGTGGGACATCATTAACCCCTTGAATATGAGCTAGAGTGTCCACTAAATGGTGACATGCCTCTGACCATCTGCACCGAACTGCCAAAGCCTGAGCTGCAATTTTGAAGTGTCCTGTAAATCCATGCAATAATGCAGGAGAAAAACAGTGGGCAGCATCACGTAAAGGAGGCGTCTCCCAGCAGCCCCCAACACCAAGTTCACATGTCTCAGCATCAAAAACCCCCACAAAACTGAATATGAAGCTTAAAAAAATGGCACTAGATGGCAGCATGTGACACCACAAACTGCGGTCCGGGCTGTGCATCACTCCTAGATACCACCAAGGCATCAGCGCCGGGTGGCTGACGGCAGATAAACTCCCAAATTTATCGGCTCGGCTCGCCGCACTCGGCAGGGAAGCCAAGTTTCAGGCTTTCAGCTAAAGTTGAGTCGCAGGCTGGAAAATTGACTCTTTTCTTTCCTCTCCGTGAACCTCACGGGAATTTTCTCTGGAAATACTCCCTGACCAACATCCTCTAAAAGTCCTTGAGAAGGCCAAGTCATCCTGCTCCGCTGTCTTTGAATGTATTCCCGCAGGGAAAAGGGCTTTTGCCGGTGCTGCTTACACTCCCTAACAGCAACGGCAGAAGCACGGAGTGGGATAACAGTGTCGTGTCCTGCGATGTACAATCAGTGTTTCAACAATGCATAAATGCAGCCGTACTGGAAATAAGATCAACGACTAAAAATCACGTGCTGGTAGGAGATTTTTTAATGAGGCTGCCATTCCACATGACAGTTCACCGGGCACAGCCGGGTTCATTCCATTCATTGCCTTATCCTCCCACCAAATCCAGGGAAACGTTATTCAATAGTTGGTGGCCACCTGTGCTCTCTGAAGCCACCAGTCTTGGCCAGAGCCACAGCCTGGGTGTCAACTGACCCTGTTGGGTGCTTCGTCTTTTCTTTATTATGTTAAAAAGACCTTAATCACAGCAGGGAAGGCTTGAGCAAAGCACCCCTGCCTCAGCGGGTTCGCTGTTGTGGGACACGTGCCAAATGTCACCAAATTTTGGAGGAGTGGAGATGCTCTCAAGGAGGAACAAGGGGTTCTTAGAGCAGCACAGGGAGGTGAGATGTTCACGCAAAGATTTTGATTGCAAGGGATTGTATAGGTGGCTGGGAAGAAAGACAACCAGTGGAAGCTGGTCCAAACAGCACCCAGTGCTGGGATGACCCAGCACCTACAGGAGTGCTATGGAGAAGCACGTGGCTGCTCTAGGCAAATACATCTCTTTCATGGGTTAAACAGCCAGGAAGTGGGTTTGCCTCTGTTTGTCCCCAACCACTGACAGCTGAGGGCTCCCCCCAGCTGCCTAATTAGGCTGATGATGTGCACCATGCAGCTGGGCCCTCTTAGAGGGGTCTCAGCAGCAGGTATGATGTTGGCCCTTAATTGCTAATTGGAAGTTCTGCCTAAATGAGAGAGCAGGGGTTTGTTTCTAGTAGCCGGTTTCTTCCTTAAACAGGATACTCCAGAGCATGTGTGCTTGGAGGGATTGGCTCAAGTTATCCTGTTTCCCCATCTGATGTTATTTCTTTGATCCTTGTTTGCTCTTAGTTTTGGAACCCCTTGGCCAAGTGGCAGAGAAGAACCACAGCAGCCAAAAGTTTCAGAAACGATCTGTGAAGGACAAAGATCTGAGGAGTGAAGTGGGGAAGCTGTGAAATGGGACATAGGAGAGAGCAAAGTCCCTCAGGGACTGAATCCTGCTGCACTCCAGCCTTCCCTGCCTGGGCCTGCAGCTCTGACAGAGGAGGAACACGTGAAATTTGATATTTGTGCTGGAGGAGTTTTGCTGTTCTGGAGGTCCCTCCCTGACCCTCTGTGGAGACTGTAGGGAAGGAAGGAGAACTCAACCTTAGCCCAACACCGGCAGCTTTGCATCTTAAATAGTGAGCAGGTAAGAGATGAGATGTTGGAAGCTGTTGCTGGCTGGGTTGGAGGGGTGTGAAGAAGCATGGAAAACTCAAGGGGAGTGGAGAAAGCAGCACGTTCCTCTGGGTTTGGGTTTCAAATAACCTGATTTACAGCAAGAATTGTACAGCTTTGGTAATTCACCTCCAGCTCAGACCTGTGAGCATGTGGTGGGGACTTTGAGGCCTGAGCCCCACCTGGGGTTTGTGTTGTATAAAAGCATCAGTGCAGAAAAACATCAGCGCAGAAAAATGCATGTGGATGGCTTCTTGTAATTTTTTTTTTTTTTAATGAAATTGTAATTCTATCCCTTGTGCAGTATGGTACACTAGTGGTGTTTCCTTTCCTTTCCTTCTTTGCAGTAAATTATATGGATATAAACATATTTTTGGAGCTTTAGTTATGTTGTGATAACTCTTATGTTGAGGGAAAAACCTGATTGCCAGATCAGGCAGAGTCATGGTCTTCAGGGCTGGGAAGTGCAGGAAGGGGAAAGGAAGGAGGTCAAGGAGCGAACAAGGGTGTTTTATGTTTGTTTGGGGAGATTTGGCATTTTTTATATATCTAGATACACAGGTTGTGTGTGCATATATATATACTGTGCTATTGAGGGAAGAAGGTGAAGGTACATGTAGGTTCACAGCATGCACAGCAGTTATTCAAACCTAAAACAATTGCCCTGTGCTTTCACCAGCCCCTGTCACAAAGCATGTCTGTCTGCTTCACCTGTCTCTCTGCCCCTAAGCTGGTGCCAGACCTTGATGAGATATTCGGCCTGAAGAGCCAAAACCAGCCCCAGATGATGCAAGTTGGATCCTTTCTGCAAAGGGCTCGAGCACTAAGATTTGGCTGCAGGTACTTGGACACCATAAATGAACATGGGATATTACAGGAGAGGTGGCCTCATGGCCAGCACTGGGACACGTGTCCTCGTTGGCTGTCTCCATGGCACATGAGGGCTGGCCAGTGAGGCACGACCCATGGAGTCAGGCAGGAGGGCAAAGGCAGAACCTCACTGCACTGGCCTCTGTTTGGCTGTTATTAGAAGATGAAGTCTTCACCCTTGTGCCAAAAATAACTTCTCTGCAGTCAACATACGTGCTCTGCCTCGGGTATCAAACTTGGGCTGTGATAAAGCTTA